CAAGGTCAATGCCCACCAAACCCTTCCAGTATTTTTGTTGGTCATGGGAGTTCTGTGTGCCAAGTTTGATTCAATTCCATTGTTGGTGGAATTCAGAATGCTCTTTGATTGTAGGTGAACTATAAATCCCAGCAACTACAACTCCCAAATGCCAAGGTCTATTGTCCCCAAACTCCACCAGTGTTCATATTTGGGCATATTGAGAATTCGTGCCAGTTTGGTCCAGATCTATCATTGTTTGAGTTTACAGTGCACTCTGGATGTAGGTGAACTACAACTCCCAAAAATACATCATGTATCTCAGATATTTACATTACAATTCATAATAATAGCCAAATTACAATTATGAAGTTGCAACAAAAAATAATTTTATGGTTTGGGGGTCACCATAACATGAGGAAGGGTATTAAGGGGTCGCGGCATTAGGAAGGTTGAGAACCACTGATATAGAGCCTTCGACAAACAGCATCACAGCACAAGGAGGAATATACACTCTACATGACTTCCTTATATACAATTCTATATAATTACACATAGCAATCTCTGATTGGTTCCCAACTCATTAACTTCACTCAGACCCAGGATTACATCATTCACAATCACCTGGACTAGGCCAGAACACATTCCCCAAATGAAGTTCTATATACAGTTAATGCATGACTCAGCATTTCCAATAGAAGCCTATTAGTAGTGCAGGACTCAGCTATATTACATTACAATACATTGTAAATCCTGACAATATATATATCACCAACCAGTGATCCAACATCCATCCGTGTGTGTGTGTGTGTGCGCGCGTGTGTGTGCCTACACTGCCATATAATCCTGTCCTAAGTAGATAATCTGGATTTTACATGGCAGTGTGGAAGGGGTGACTTTGGGTGCATCCCTCCCAAGAAAGGGAGGGAAAGAAGTAAAGGAAGGAGAAGGAAGGGAAGTAGAGAAAGGGAGGGAGGGAGGGAAGGAAGGAGGGAGGGAAGGAGGAGGTTGGACCGGATGACCTTTAGGCCTCCCTTCCAACTGGTTGGCCATCTGTTGGGAGGGCTTTGATGGTGTCTTCCTTTACTGCCAAATGAGGTTGGGCTGGATGGTCTTTGGGGCTCCTTTCCGAGCAGTGTCAGTTTCGTGTGTCCCTATGACCCCCATCATGGCATCTTCCTCCTTCCCTTGTGATGTGGGAGTGTGTGTGTGGGAGAGTCAGAGTGTGTGCACAGAGTGTGGCCTGCCTCCCTCTTTTTTTCCTCCTCCCTCTGTCCTTCCTGTTGGGGTTCAGCCTGAGTTTGAACTTGAACCTGATTCTCTGTTTGTTCCTCCTGATGCTAATGAAAATATATTTACTGATGCTAGTGGAAATGTACCTTTTGATGCCAATGCTCCTGAAATTAGTGAGGAAGAAACTGCTGTAGGTTTGGAAAATGCCAATGTTCCTGAAATTAGTGAGGAAGGAACTTCTGTAGATTTGGAAAATGAAAGTACCAGTGTTCATGAGAATGTTTCAGAGGGAGACCTTGAACTTTCCCTCCCTTCTGCACCTGTTAACTGTAATGACAACAGAAGGGGCCAAATTTGGGAAGACAGAAGTAAATCACTCAGTTTGCGTCGATCCTCCCGAATTCAAGAATTAAAAACATTGGCTTCAAAACAGAAGGGCGGTTCACGGAACCCATTCTTGAGTTTTAATTGCAATACGCCGAGCTGATTGTCTCAGTTCAGGCATCGTTTCAGAATTGATGAAGACCTTGGCAGTTCTCCCGGTTCCCTGGCCATAGTATGGAAGATTTCTAGGATATCAAGTACGGTTAGTGGATTGCTAACAGATTCAAGTATTTCTCAGAGAGGCTTTTGGTTTTGCTTTGTTCATTTAAATTCACGTTTGCTGATTTTGCTGTGGCTTTTGACTTGCATTTTTCCTTTATTTTGTAACCATTTTTCTTCAATAAAAAGAAAAGGAGGCTGTCCAGGTCCTGAACCGGTGCTTGGCCGCTGTGTCGGACTGGATGAGGGTGAACAAATTGAAACTCAATCCAGACAAGACAGAGGTACTCCTGGTCAGTCGGAAGGCCGAACAGGGTATAGGGTTACAGCCTGTGTTGGATGGGGTCGCACTCCCCCTGAAGACGCAGGTTCGCAGCTTGGGTGTGACTCTGGATTCTTCGCTAAGCTTGGAACCCCAAGTTTCAGCGGTCTCCAGAGGAGCATTTGCACAGCTTCGGCTCGTGCGCCAGCTGCGCCCGTATCTTGGGAAGTCGGACTTGGCCACGGTAGTCCACGCTCTTGTCACATCCCGCATAGATTACTGCAACGCGCTCTACGTGGGGTTGCCCTTGAAGACTGCCCGGAAGCTTCAGATGGTCCAGCGCTCGGCAGCCAGGTTGCTAACGGGAGCGGCACTCAGGGAGCACACCACTCCACTGTTGAGCCAGCTCCACTGGCTGCCAATTTGCTACCGAGCACAATTCAAGGTGCTGGCTTTAGCCTATAAAGCCCTACACGGTTCCGGCCCCACTTACCTCTCTGAACGCATCTCCGCCTATGAACCGGCGAGGATGTTAAGATCGTCCGGGGAGGCCCTGCTCTCGGTCCCGCCAGCATCACAAGTGCGGCTGGCGGGGACGAGAGACAGGGCCTTCTCGGTGGTGGCCCCTCGGCTATGGAATGCCCTACCAACGGAGATCAGACAGGCCCCGTCGCTACTGGCGTTTAGGAGGAGGGTTAAGACGTGGCTCTTCGAACAGGCGTTCGGATAAGCATGCAATAACATCTGACTCAGAAAGACGGCGTACTGAACAAGGAATGGTAAAACGACTGTGAGATTTGGATCTGATTCTATTCGAGGCGTGATGACGTTATGTGTACTGTTTGTGGATGTTTGTCACATGTATTGTTCAATGTTGCACATTTTACTGTAAACCGCTTAGAGTCGCCTTTTTTGGCTGATATAGGCGGTATACAAAAGGAGTAAATAAATAAATAAATAAATAAATAAATAAATAATAAAAAGGATTGTTTTTCACAGCCAAGTGTGGTGGATAGTTATCTTAGGGCCTCATTCCCTGCTCTGGATTGCAACACTTCCCCTCTTCCTTCTCAGCTTTTTTGATCCCTCCTCAGCCTTTTGATCCCTTGCCTTCGTGTTAGTTAGGGGCTGAGAGACATGCAGGGAGCAGGAACCATTGCTGCCTCCGCTGCTTCAGGACCCTCATTCTGTGTCCTCAGCGTGAGAGGGGCGGGAGGGGGTGGGTTGTTGTCTTCTTCCTTTTTTGAATTTAAAGGTGTTTTGTGGGGTTTTTTTTCACTGATGATCACTCCTTGGATTGGGAGGAGTTTTGTTGGTAAATTTGGGGTCATTTGGCCCCGTAGTTTTTTTGTTTTTAAGGTACTCATTATGCACGGAGGATTTTTATATAGAGAGATGATTATGAGCACAGGGCAGGAGGCAAGATGGAACTGCCTTCATTGCCCCTCTTTTCACTCTGATCTCTGAAAATCGTGAAATTTTTGAAAGAAACTGTAAGCTGGCTTTGGCTTACTTGACATGAGGTCTGAAGAAATAAAAGACAAGAGGAATTAATTGAGCTAGAAATATAAAGGGTTAAATAAAATGTGTACAAACTCTGTGAGGTGAAGTGATGGAAGTCAATGTAGTGAGTAGGTTGTGGGGTTGCGGTACTGTGGGTGGTGGGTTGACTTGGTATGTGCAGATGTCAGTAAGAAAAATACATTGTCTGATAAAATCTTTAAAAATATATACTAAGATGATTGCACACCGCACACTGCACTTGCCCGATAATCCTCGTATACCTCCTGCCACATCAGCACTTTTAATCCTGTACCCACTACTCTGGCCCGGCCCAGTTTTATTGTGTTTTTGATATGTTGTTTATTGCATGTCGTTAATATTGCTTTAACTGTTTTTAATTTTGCTTGGTGTTGTATTGTTTATGTTGTGTTTTGTGGCCTTGGCCTTGTAAGCCGCATCAAGTCCTTCGGGAGATGCTAGCGGGGTACAAATGAAGATGATAATAATAATAATAATAATAATAATAATAATAATTGCCCCCCCCCCTCATTTCTCCTTTTAAAGGCTTTTAAAAACCTATCTATGCAATCTAGCTTATGGAGAGGCGGAGGATGAATATCCTTTTGCATATATCCTCACGTTGGTCTACCTCAGCCCGCTGGACATGGCATAGTATTTTATTTCAATGTACTGTGTTTAATTTGTATGACTCCTTGTGTTACATTATGTTTACTTAATTTAATTCTCAGCTAATTTTTGGTTGGTTTTATAAGTTATATTGAGACCATTTATTCCTTGTTTACATCTTTATTGCTATGCAGCTGTTCTTGGCATTGAATGTTTGCCATTTTTGTTATTTCCTGGAAACCACCCAGAGTCCCCTTGGGGGGAGAGGGCGGGTTATAAGTAAAATTATTATTCAGTTCTTGTGGGTTTTTTCGGGCTATATGGCCATGTTCTAGACGCATTTCTCCTGACGTTTCGCCTGCATCTATGGCAAGCATCCTCAGAGGTGAGGTCATTAGATGCAGGTGAAACGTCAGGAGAAATGCCTCCAGAACATGGCCATATAGCCCGAAAAAACCCACAAGAACTGAGTGATTCCAGCCATGAAAGCCTTCGACAATACATTAAAATTATTAGTAGTATTAGTATTATTAGAATTAGTATTATATGTATACCCTGCTTTATCCTGCCAAAGGGAGATAAATATTAGGAATCACCCTTCCTTCCTTCTATCATTCATTCTTTTAATTCTCCATCCTTTCTTTTCGTTTTTTTCTTTCTGGATTCTTTCCCTTCTTGTTTAAGAATCAGTGGTTGCCTTTGTTGGCATCTGTGTATGTGCTTGAGACCCTGATGTCTGCATTTCTTGGTATTCCCATTTTAAACATGACCCATGAAGGAAAAAGGGGGAAATCTTGCAGGTAAAGAAGGTTTCTGGCTTTCATCACTGATCTTTTGCTTCTTTCTTCACCAGGGAAATTAGGATTCTATGGAGCCAACTCTTGGGTTAATATAGGAAGACGGAAGAAATAGTCTCAAGGTGATGATCTTGCCGATTCCTGACTTCACTTACAGATAAGAAAGGGAAAAAAGTAGTGCCAAGTATCTGTACTGCAATTCAACACACATATCACTGTTGACATGGAGGAGAAAGCATTTAAATGCCTGGAGTGTGGAAAGAGTTTTACTCAGAGGGATCATCTGCAGCAACATGAAAAGACCCACACTGGGGAGAAGCCCTATAAGTGTCTGGAGTGTGGACAGAGCTTCAGTTATCGTTCATATCTACATAGACATCAAAGAACACATACTGGGGAGAAACCCTATGCATGCTTGGAGTGTGGAAAGAGCTTCACTGAGAATAGAAGTCTACGTGTGCATGAAAGGACTCACACTGGGGAGAAACCCTATAAATGCCTGGAGTGTGGAAACAGCTTCACTCATAGTTCAAATCTACGTAGACATCAAAGGACCCACATTGGGGAGAAGCCCTATAAGTGTCTGGAGTGTGGACAGAGCTTCAGTCATCATTCATATCTACATAGACATCAAAGAACACATACTGGGGAGAAACCCTATAAATGCCTGGAGTGTGGAAAGAGCTTCACTAATAATTCAAATCTACATGTGCATAAAAGGACTCACACTGGGGAGAAACCCTATAAATGCCTGGAATGTGGACACAGCTTCACTCATAGTTCTCATCTACAAAGACATCAAAGGACCCACACTGGGGAGAAGCCCTCTAAGTGTCTGGAGTGTGGACAGAGCTTCAGTCGTCATTCATATCTACATAGACATCAAAGAACACATACTGGGGAGAAACCCTATGCATGCTTGGAGTGTGGAAAGAGCTTCACTGAGAATGGAAGTCTACGTGTGCATGAAAGGACTCACACTGGGGAGAAACCCTATAAATGCCTGGAGTGTGGACAGAGCTTCAGTAACAATGGAAATCTACGTAAACATCAAAGGACTCACACTGGGGAAAAACCCTTTAAATGCCTGAAGTGTGGACAGAGCTTCATTGATACTTCAAGTCTCCATAGACATCAAAGAACTCACACTGGGGAGAAACCTTATACATGCCTGGACTGTGGGCAGAGCTTCACTCAGGGTTCAAGACTGCGTTTACATCAAAGGACTCACACTGGGGAGAAACCCTATAAATGCCTGGAGTGTAGTCAGAGCTTCACTCAGGGTTCAAGTCTGCATTCACATCAAAGGACTCACACTGGGGAGAAACCCTTTAAATGCCTGGAGTGTGGAAAGACCTTCAGTAATAATTCAAATCTACATGTGCATAAAAGGACTCACACTGGGGAGAAACCCTATAAATGCCTGGAGTGTAGTCAGAGCTTCACTCAGGGTTCAAGTCTGCGTTCACATCAAAGGACTCACACTCGGGAGAAACCCTATAAATGCCTGGAGTGTGGAAAGACCTTCAGTAATAATTCAAATCTACATGTGCATAAAAGGACTCACACTGGCGAGAAACCCTATAAATGCCTGGAGTGTGGACAAAGCTTCAATAACAATGGAAATCTACGTACACATCAAAGGACTCACACTGGGTAGAAGCCCTATAAATGCCTGGAGTGTAGCAAGAGCTTCATTCACAGTGGACATCTACGTAGACATCAAAGGACTCACACTGGGTAGAAACGCTATACATGCCTAGAATGTGGACAGAGCTTCACTTGGGGTTCAAATCTGCATTCACATTAAAGGATTCACACTGGGGAGAAAGCTGATACCTGCCTGGAGTGAGGAAAGAGTTTTACTGAGAGTGAACTTCTACATTCACATCAAATTACTCACACTGGGGAGAAACCCTATAAATGCCTGGATTGTGGACGACACTTCACTCGTAATTCAAGTCTATGTTCGCATCAAAGGACCCACACTAGGGAGAAGCAGTGAATGGAGTGTGGAAAGACCTTCTCTGAGAGTTCAAAGCTACATAGACATAGAATTCAAATTGGAAAGACCAGTAGTATTTGACCCCAGAGAGACTCCCTAAAACAGAACTTTGCCAACTTTTCATGTTGCTGACACTCTTTTTAGACATGCTTCCTTTCGCAATGGATGTATGATTAATGATTTTCGGAACGGTCCCAGATTACAAGTATGGATGACATGATTTTAATAGTGATTATAATGTTTATATGTTTTAATGTGCATTTTTCTTCAAATTTTTAATTTCTTAAATTGTAACTTAAATGTATTTGTTGTTCTTTAAAGACATCAAATAGTTGCCTTTTGTAAAGCCGCCTTGCGTCCCCTAGTTTTTATCTTATTTTCTAGATCCATTCCATAACTACACATGCCATAATGGGTTTTTTTGTTCCGTCCCCACCTTATATCTTTTCCAAATCGCTAATAGACTTAGACCAGTGTTTCTCAACCTGGGGGTCGGGACCCCTGGAGGGGTCGCGAGAGGGTGTCAGAGGGGTCACCAAAGACCACCAGAAAACACAGTATTTTCTGTTGGTCATGGAGGTTCAGTGTGGGAAGTTTGGCCCAGTTCAGTCATTGGTAGGGTTCAGAATGCTCTTTGACTGTAGGTGAACTATAAATCCCAGCAACTACAACTCCCAAATGTCAAGGTCTATTTTCCCCAAACTCAACCAGTGTTCATATTTGGGCATATTGAGAATTCATGCCAAGTTTGGTCCAGATCCATCATTGTTTGAGTCCACAGTGCTCAGTGGATGTAGGTGAACTACAACTCCCAAAACTCAAGGTCAATGCCCACCAAACCCTTCCAGTATTTTTTGTTGATCATGGGAGTTCTGTGTGCCAAGTTTGATTCAATTCCATTGTTGGTAGAATTCAGAATGCTCTTTGATTGTAGGTGAACTATAAATCCCAGCAACTACAACTCCCAAATGTCAAGGTCTATGTTCCCCAAACTCCACGAGTGTTCATATTTGGACATATTGGGAATTCATGCCAAGTTTGGTCCAGATCCATCATTGTTTGAGTCCGCAGTGCTCAGTGAATGTAGGTGAAATACAACTCCCAAAACTCAAGGTCAATGCCCACCAAACCCTTCCAGTACTTTTTGTTGTTCATGGGAGTTCTGTGTGCCAAGTTTGATTCAATTCCATTGTTGGTAGAATTCAGAATGCTCTTTGATTGTAAGTGAACTATAACTCCCACAGGACAAAATCAATACTCTCCCCCAATCCCACCAGTATTCAAATTTGGGCATATTGGGTATTTGTGCCAAATTTGGTCCAGTCAATGAAAATACATCATGCATCTCAGATATTTACATTACAATCCATAACAATAGCCAAATTACAATTATGAAGTTGCAACAAAAACAATGTTATGGTTGGGGGTCACCACAACATGAGGGACTGTATTAAGGGGTCACGGCATTAGGAAGGTTGAGAACCACTGACTTAGACTCTAATGGGATGTCTATGGAAAACTTTATTAATTCTATCTTTTCCATTTCATAAATACGCATGCCAGCCAAACCTTAGGTGATATCCCTATTCAATTTTCTAATCTGACCCATTTCCTTAGCCAGCTGAAGCCTAGCGCTTTGTAATAATACCTAACTCATTTTGAAAGCATTGTGCTTCCAGACTCTAACCGAAGTGGAGAAAGCAAGCCTTGGATTGCGGCTCTGGAGACCAGGGGCTGAATCTCCGCTTGGCCACAAAGTCCACTGGGTGACCTTGGCTGTGTCACGCTCTCTCAGCCTCAGAACAAAGCCAGGGCAAGCAGATTTTGAACAATGTATTGTCGAAGGCTTTCAAGGCTGGAATCACTGGGTTGTTGTGGGTTTCCTAATCGTGCCCCTTCCTTTAGCCAGCTGAAGCCCCCCACTTTGTATTAATACTTAAGCCCCTCTCTCTTGGGCATCTATTAGGTTCTTGTAGGCAATGCTAGCTTTTTCCCCATTCCATATAAATTTAGTCAAATCCTTCCCCCAATGTTTGAAAATTCTCCCGCCTTTAAATATTCGTAGATTTTGGAATAAAACAGCATTTTGAGTCAGATCACTTTTATCACCGCTATTCTCCCCACCCAAGTTAATTGAATACTTTGCCATCTTTCCAAATTTTCTTCAATCTCCTTCCACATTTTTTCATAATTATTTTGAAAGAAGTTATTGTCAGAACATGGTTTAAATGTAGTGAAATATTGTTACAGTTTAAACTGTGTGATGAAGCAATATAATGTAAGATTTAAAAGCATGGAGCTGTGATGGATTCCTAGAGCGTAACTTTGGAGAGTTCCAGTGACGTAGTTACATTCCCAAAGATCTGATAACCACGTGCTCTTGCTTCCAACGATGTACGGCTAGGTGAATGGATGTGTTTTCTTTACTTCTGTAGATAGTATATAATTTGTAGTTTAGTATTTGGGAGAACAGGGAGACACCTGTTCTACCCTACAACCACTGTCTTGTGGGGTTCCTCAGGGTTCAATACTGGCTCCCATGTTGTTTAACATCTACATGAAGCCGCTGGGAGAGATCATCCGGAGTTTCGGGGTACGATGTCATCTGTATGCGGATGATGTCCAACTCTGTCACTCCTTTCCACCTTCTTCTAAGGAGGCTGTTCAGGTCCTGAACCGGTGCTTGGCCGCTGTAACGGACTGGATGAGGGCGAACAAATTGAAACTAAATCCAGACAAGACAGAGGTACTCCTGGTCAGTCGAATGGCCGAACAGGGCATAGGGTTACAGCCTGTGTTTGACGGGGTTACACTCCCCCTGAAGACGCAGGTTCGCAGCTTGGGAGTGACTCTGGACTCATCGCTGAGCCTGGAACCCCAGGTTTCAGCGGTGACCAGGGGAGCATTTGCACAGTTAAAACTTGTGCGCCAGCTGCGCCCGTACCTTGGGAAGTCTGACTTGGCCACGGTAGTCCACACTCTGGTTACATCCCGTATAGACTACTGCAACGCTCTCTACGTGGGGTTGCCTCTGAAGACTGCTCGGAAGCTTCAAATGGTCCAATGCCCGACAGCCAGGATGCTAACAGGAGCGGCACTCAGGGAGCATACCACTCCTCTGCTGCGCCAGCTCCACTGGCTGCCAGTTTGCTACCGGGCACAATTCAAAGTGCTGGCTTTAGCCTTTAAAGCCCTAAACAGTTCTGGCCCGACCTATCTGTCCGAATGCATCTCCTCCTATGAACCAGTTAGGACGTTAAGATCGTCTGGGGAGGCCCTGCTCTCGGTCCCGCCAGCTTCACAAGCACACCTGGCGGGGACGAGAGACAGGGCCTTCTCAGTGGTGGCCCCTCGGCTGTGGAATGCCCTTCCTACAGACATTAGATTGGCCCCCTCCTTATTGACATTCAGGAAGGGAGTGAAGACCTGGCTCTTCGAACAGGCTTTCAACTAAGCAGTGCAATTGATTGATTTTTGGAATATGGATTAATGGACAACGAGATCGGATGCTGATTCTATTGATGAGACATGATGGATTGTTGTTTTCCTGTATTGTTGTATTGATGTTCTGATGTTAATTAATTGATATTACTGTTTTAAATTATTTATAATTTTGTACTGTGTTGTTGATACTGGTTGTTAACCGCTCTGAGTCGCCTGATGGCTGAGAAGAGCGGTATACAAGTGAAGTAAGTAAGTAAATAAATAAATATTTAATCATAGGTGAACTGTAAATCCCAGCAACGACAACTCCCAAATATCAAGGTCTATTTCCCCAAACTCCACCAGTGTTCACATTTCGGCATATGGAATATTCATGCCAAGTTTGATCCAGAACCATCATTGTTTGTGTCCATAGTGGTCTCTGGGTGTAGGTGAACTACAACTCCCAAACTCAAGGTCAATACTCACCAAACTTTTCTAGTGTTTTCCGTTGGTCATGGGAGTTCGGTGTGCCAAGGTTGGTTCAATTCCATCGTTGGTGGAGTTCAGAATGCTCTTTGATTTTAGGTGAAGTATTAATACCAGCAACTACAACTCCCAAATGACAAAATCAATCTCTCTGGGTATTTGTGCCAAGTGTGAATGAAAATACATCCTGCATATTGGATATTTGCATTAGTATTCATAACACTAGCAAAACTACTGTTATGAAGTAGCAATGAAAATAATTTGATGGTGACCCACCACCACGACATGAGGAACTGTATCCAGGGGTCGCGGCATTAGAAAGGTTGAGAAACACTGTGCTAGAGCCAGCCATAGCAGAGCACCTGATGAACCAGCCTGGACACAGCATATTATTTGAGAACACAGAAATGGTGGACCACACCAACAACCACCATGTCAGACTACACAGAGAAGCCATCGAAATCCATAAGCATGTGGACAATTTCAACAGAAAGGAGGAGACCATGAAAATGAACAAGATCTGGCTACCAGTATTAAAAAAACTCTAAAATTACAACAGCAAAACAACAGAGAGGAAACAACCAGGCACAGATTACCACCTCCCAGCAAGAGATTTTCCCAGGCTCAGGCAGGCCTTCAAATGCTAATGACGGTGGTCAGTTGAAACATTCACACCCAGCTCCAGCAGGGAAGAGCTCTTTGCCCCACCCCAGCCATTCCACAGATATATAAACCCAATTTTCCTAGTTCCAACAGACCTCACTACCTCTGAGGATGCTTGCCATAGATGCAGGCGAAACGTCAGGAGAGAATGCCTCTAGAACATGGCCATAGAGCCCGAAAAAACCCCACAAGAACCTACTGAGCTAGAGCCTCAGAATGGACAGCAGATGGCAGCACCTTCCCTGCAGCCAAGACAGCCTGGCAGCCCTCGAGGAGGAAGGAAGGAGAGAAGCCCAGAGTGAGAGGGAGGGGCGCCAAGGCCATCTAGCCCCGCCCCCTTTGGGCGCGCAGGCCCCTCCCCTTTTGTAAGGCCCCATGGCCACGCCCCCTTCGCGTCATAGAGGCGCGTCGACACCCAGGCCACGCCCCCTTCTCCTTTTCCGCCGCCATTTCTGCGAGGAAGACAACAAGGAAGGAAGGAGGAGGAGGAGAAGGTGAGGAGTTTGGGCCGAGCCTCTCTCTCTCTCTCTCTCTTTCTCCTTCCTTTCCCTCCTTTTCTGTTTTCCAACCGGTGCTCATTTCGGGAGGAAGGGGAGGAGGAGGGAGGGAGGGAGGCCTTCCTTTCCCAACTCATCCGCGGCCTCCTCCTCTCTCCTGAGGGATTCCTTCCTTCCTCCCTGGAGGACAGGCCTTGAAAGAGAGAGAGAGAGACATCCGGGCCCTTCTGGAGGGAGTCTCCTCCTCGCAGAGCCTTGTGTTTGGATCTCTGTTCTGTGCCTTTTAATATGTATTTGGTAGGAACAAGCCGCATTCCCAAGCTGCTCTCTCTGCCCACTCCCCAAAACCAAGCTGCCCTCCCTACCCACTCCTCACACCCAAGCTGCCCTCCCTGCCCACTCGCAGGGGGCCTTCCCTGCCCACTCCCCACACGCAAGCCGCACTCCCAAGATGCCTTCCCTGCCCACATCCAAGCTGCCCTCCCTCCCCATGCCCAAGGCAGCCTCCCTGCCCACTCCCCACACCCAGGCCACACTCCCAAGGTGCCTTCTGCCCACTACTCACACCCAAGCTGGACTCCCTGCCCACTCCCCACAACCAAACCACCCTCCCTGCCCTGACCCATGGGCCTCTCCCTGCTCATTCCCCGCACACAAGCTGCATTCCCAAGCTGTCCTTCCTGCCCACTCCCCACACCTAAGGTGCCCTCCCTGCCCACTCCCCACACCTAAGCCACCCTCCCTGCCCACTCCAAAGCCACATTCCCAAACTGCCCTCCCTGCCCACTCCCCACACCAAAACCACCCTCCCTGCACCCAAGCTGCAATCCCAAGCAAGCGGCACTCCCTGCCCACACCCAAGCCGCACTCCCAAGGAGCCCTCCCTCCCCATGCCCAAGGCAGCCTCCCTGCCCACTCCCCACACCATGCCAGATTCCCAAGCTTCTCTCTGCCCACTACCCACACCCAAGCTGGACTCCCTGCCCACTCCCCACAACCAAACCACCCTCCCTTCCCCACACCCAAGGTGCCCTCCCTGCCCTGACCCATGGCCCCCTCCCTGCTCATTCCCCGCACACAAGCTGCATTCCCAAGCTGTCCTTCCCCACACCCAAGGCACCCTCTCTGCCCACTTCGCCACACCCAAGGCCTCACCCATCCCACTCCTCACCCCCAAACCGCCCTTTCTGCCCACTCCCCACATTCAAGCCCCCCTCCCCACTCCTCATACCCAGCCCCCTCCTCATGGCCACCTCATCTTTCTGTTCATAGAATTCTTTGTCTCACTGCATTCCCAAGCTTCTCTCCCTGCCCACTCCACAAAACCAAGGTGCCTTCCCTGCCCACTCCCCACACCCAAGCCGCATTCCCTGCACCCAAGCCTCAATCCCAAGCTGCTCTTCCTACCCACTGCTCACAGCCAAGTCGCCCTCCCTGCCCACTCTCCACACCAAAACCACCCTCCTTGTACCCAAGCTGCCCTCCCTGCTCATTCCCCCCACACACGCTGCATTCCCATGCTGCCCTTCCTGCCCACCCCCCACACCCAAGCCACTCCCCACACCCAGGCCACACTCCCAAGGTGCCCTCCCTCCCCATGCCCAAGGCAGCCTACTGCCCACTCCCCACACCCAAGCGGCACTCCCTGCCCACACCCAAGCCACCCTCCCTGCCCACTCCCCACACCCAGGCCACACTCCCAAGGTGCCCTCCCTCCCCATGCCCAAGGCAGCCTACTGCCACTCCTCACACCCAAGCCACACTCCCAAGGTGCCCTCCCTGCCCACAACCAAGCTGCACTCCCTGCCCAGACCCGTGGGCCCTCCCTGCTCAATCCCCACACACAAGCTGCATTCCCAAACTGCCCCCCCTGCCCACACCCAAGCCCCCCCCCTTTCCCACTCCTCATACCCAGCCCCCTCCCCATGGCCACCTCATCTTTCTGTTCATAGAATTCTTTGTCTCACCGCATTCCCAAGCTTCTCTCCCTGCCCACTCCCCATACCAAAACCGCCCTCCCTGCCCAAGCTGCCCTCCCTACCCACTCCTCACACCCAGGTCCCCTCCCTCCCCACTCCCAAGGGGCCTTCCCTGCCCACTCCCCACACCCAACCCCCCCTCATTCCCCACTCCCCACACTCAACCCTCACTTTCCCACTCCCCACACCCAAGCGGCACTCCCTGCCCACACCCAAGCCACCCTCCCTGCCCACTCCCCACACCAAAACCACCCTCCTTGTACCCAAGCTGCCCTCCCTGCTCATTTCCCCTACACACGTTGCATTCCCATGCTGCCCTTCCTGCCCCCTCCCCACACCCAAGCCCCCCTCCCCACTCCTCATACCCAGCCCCCTCCCTTCCTTTCCCAATCCCCACTCTCAAGCTGCGCTCCCTTCCCACTGCCCACACCCAAGCCACCCTCCCTGCCCACTCCCCACACCCAGGCCACACTCCCAAGGTGCCCTCCCTCCCCACAACCAAGCTGCACTCCCTGCCCAGACCCGTGGGCCCTCCCTGCTCATTCCCCACACACACACTGCAATCCCAAACTGCCCTTCCTGCCCACACCCAAGCCCCTCCCTTCCCACTCCTCATACCCAGCTCCCTCCCCATGGCCACCTCATCTTTCTGGTCATAGAATTCTTTGTCCCACCACATTCCCAACCTTCTTTGCCTGCCCATTCCCCAAAATGAAGGCTGCCCTCCCTGCCCACTCCCCACCCCCAAACCGCATTCCCTGCACCCAAGCCTCAATCCCAAGCTGCTCTCCCTGCCCACACCTAAGCCACCCTCCCTCCTGCCCGCTCCCCACACCAAAACCGCCGTCCTTGTACCCAAGCTGCCCTCCCTGCTCATTCCCCACACACACACACACGTTGCATTCCCATGCTGCCCTTCCTGCCCACACCCAAGGCACCCTCTCTGCCCATTTTGCCACACTCAAGGCCTCACCCATCCCACTCCCAAACTGCCCTTCCTGCCCACTCCCCACACCCAAGCCCTCCCTTCCCACTCCTCATACCCAGCCCCCTCCCCATGGCCACCTCATCTTTCTGTTCATAGAATTCTTTGTCTCACCGCATTCCCAAGCTTCTCTCCCTGCCCACTCCCCATACCAAAACCGCCCTCCCTGCCCACTCCTGACACCAAAACCGCCCTCCTTGTACCCAAGCTGCCCTCCCTGCTCATTCCCCCCCCCACACACACACACATGCTGCAATCCCAAGCTGCCCTTCCTGCCACTCTCCACACCCAATTAGTTCACAAGGCACCCTCCCTGCCACTTTTCCACACCCAAGCGGCCCTCCCTGTGCACACCCAAGCCACCCTTCCTGCCCACTCCCCACACACTCCTCATTCCCAGCCCCCTCCCAATGGCCACCCCATCTTTCTGTTCATAGAATTCTTTGTCCCAATGTTGAAACAGGGCTGTGATGTCTTCTGGGAAATTCCGGTTAATGAGTACGATGGTGTCTGCTGCGGGGCCCTTGGTGAATACAGACACACATCCAAGCTGATAGTTTTGTCATTTGTGTTGAGTTTGAGATTGCTGATTTTTTTTCTGCATAGGGCTCACTACACACTACATTCAGTGGGCTGAGTCATTAATGTTGTGTGTAGTGAGCCCAATACAGGTTTGTAGTTGTGTGGCCAGACATTTTGCCAAAATGTATTCTGGGGGATCCAATGGCGCTCACTATGAGTCTGACCGGAGTGGAGCTCTTATGGATTTTTGGAAGTCCATAAAGCCTAGAAGGGAGGGCTTCCGATTTGTGTAGATATTTTTATCATTGCAATTGGCTGGCCAAAGTGCTCATTCTAATTCCATGAAGTCACTTCAAGAGTCTTGCTCTGCTGTTAAGATCAATGGAGGAGTTCTTGTTCAAAGTGTTTGTTTTTCCTGCCAGTTTTGTTGGTTGGGTCCTGAAGATGCCAGCCACAGATGCAGGCAAAATGTTAGGAGAGAATGCTGCTGGAACATGGCCATAGAGCCTTTGACAATATACAGGATTATTGTATCAGTACTGTTTGTTTTTTAGTTTTTGCACCTGTTGTCATTACTTGCCTTTCAATTTGCTGGATTCAACTTTGCAAAATTCATAAGGATTAATTAGTCTGTCAAAATAAAGTCAAGGTGACACTCTCTCAGCCTCCCAGGCGGAGAACATTGGCTTTGGGATACCCACCCTGCCTTCCTTATTTTCTTCTTCCTCCCTTCCCTTCCCTTCCCCTCATAGCTTTTCCCCTTTCATGTCCCTTCCTTCCTTCCACCCATTTACTTCCTTCTCACTCCCTCTCTCCCTCCGTTCTTTCTTTCCCTTCCTTTTCTCCTTCCTTCCTTCCTTCCTTCCTTCCTTCCTTCCTTCCTTCCTTCCTTCCTTCCTTCCTTCCTTCCTTCCTTCCTTCCTTCCTTCCTTCCTTCCTTCCTTCCCCTCTTTGCTTCTCCTCATACACACATCACTTTTCTTTCCCAGTGACATCACAGAGGGCCACTTCACCTGGCAACAGCCTTTGCATCACAAATGTCATGATTTTCCTGTTTCTTGGCAGGGGGTTGGACTGGATGGCCCATGAGATCTCTTCCAACTCTATGATTCTATGAAATGGACAGACCTAATATAATTTACATACATAATTTAATTTTATATCTGTAAATATATGCTAGTTTCTGTCCCATGTACAAAGAAACCTACAACCTGTTTTCAGCCAGTTGCCACTGCAAGAAGCTGGCTGTTAAATTGCCGTAGAAATGGATGGCCTTGGTGGGGGATGTTGGGAGCGACAGTCCAAAAAGGCCCCTTTCCCCATTGCTTTGGAAGTTCTGGCCTGCAGCATTTGGGGCAAAAGGGACAAAAGCCAGATCCTCCCAGTTTCCTATTGACTTATGAGATTTGTAATGTTTGTCTTAGGCTAGAAGCAACCTGGGGCTCCTTGGTGGCCTCCCATCCAAGTCCAAGCCAAGGCTGGCCCCGCTTAGACAGGATCTGTTTCCTTTAGGGAACTGAGGTCAAGTAGCCAGAATATATTGTTTGTTTTTGTTATTGCTATTGTGACTAGTAGTAATAGTAGTGCCAAAAGAGGTAGTGGTGATGCCATTATTATTGTTACCATCATTGTCTATTAATATTATTACTGTTTTGCTGTCACCACTACTCTTATTATAAATAATAGATTATTCATCATGTCAGTTTGGCCCCTTCTACACTGTCATATAAAATCCAGATTATCTGCTTTGGACTGGATTATATGGCAGAGGCCTGAAATTGGCCTGCTGTTTCTCCACTGCCTTTCTGCCTGCTTTGTGCGGGTTTCCTGTCCTGCCTCATCCGCTCCATTCCCCCCAGCTGAGAACAGGCTCCATGGAAGCCCTTTTGAGTGCCATTTCTGCCAGGTAGAAGGGGGGGGGGGGCTCCCCCAAAACAGATCCTGCCAATGGCTGCAGCAGGGCCTTCAAAATAAGATATTTGCAATGTGCATAGGAATTTGATCATAGTTTTTTTTTTAAAAAAACCTATAGTCCGGCCCTCCAGCGGTCTGAGGAACAGTGAACTGCCCCCCCCCCCTCCGCCCTGTTTAAAAAGTCTGAGGACTTGTCAGCTCACAGCAGTTGTTCCCAATGAAGACACTGGACTGCACTCTGGTATCAAAGAGAATCTTTACTACTGGATACATGGATATGAAAAACCGAGATTGACCGGCTGCCACCGGTCGCTCCTTATATACACACCCCTGCAATTGAAAGTCCAATTCTCGCCAAACCAAAACCCCACGCAACATTCCCGCCAACTGTGAGCCGTTGTCTTCCAAGGTCGACAGCTGCAAAGTTCTCATCACTGCCCTACGTCAAGACCCTAGTTTTCAACGCCAAAACTAAGGGCCTGGAAAATGGATCCTGACAGGACCCTTGTTTTATACCAACTCCTAAGACCACTTGTATTAAGCGTTGCCACTTTTTCTTTGCCCATCATTTTTATACTATATATTGTTAATGTGTGAACTCCATACAGTGCTTCTCATCCCACTTCCCCTTAGTTCTATTACCCTTATGTCCCTTGTTCGTTCCCCCCTCCCCTCTTGGCATTGAATGTTTCCCATTTTTGTTATTCCCTGGAAACCACCCTGAGTCCCCTCCGGGAGAGGGGACAGGTGATAAATATATTATTATTATTATTATTATTATTATTATTATTATTATTATTATGTATTTATATGCCTCATTATCTCCCCGAAGGGAGATAAATATTAGAAGGAGTTCCCCTTTCTTTTCCTTCTATCATTCATTCTTTTTTCTTTCTGGACTCATTCCCTTCTTGTTTAAGAATCAATGATTCCCTTTGCTAGCATCTGTGTATGTGCTTGAGACCCTGATGTCTGCGTTTCTTGGTATTCCCAGTTTCAACATGACCCATGAAAGGAAAGGGGGAAAAGGCTTGAGGTAAAGAAGGTTTCTGCCTGTCCTCACTGATATTTTGGTTCTTTCTTCACCAGGGAAATGAAGATTCTATGGAGCCACCTCTTGGATGCAGTAAGGAGACCAATAATATAGGAAGAAGAAGAAATAATCTCAAGGTGATACTCTTGCTGAATTCTTGAGTTCACTTACAGATAAAGGGAAATAGTGCCAGGTAACCATATTGCAATTCAGCAACCTTATCACTGTTGACATGGAGGAGAAAGCATTTAAATGCCTGGAGTGTGGAAAGAGTTTTTCTCGGAAGGTTAATCTTCAGCAACATGAAAGGACTCACACTGGGGAGAAGCCCTATGCATGCCTGGAGTGTGGAAAAAGCTTCCCTCATACTTCAAATCTACGTTTGCACCAAAGGACTCACACTGGGGAAAAACCCTATAAATGTCTGGAGTGTGGAAAGAGCTTCACTCAGAGTTCAAGTCTACATTCGCATGAACGGACTCACACTGGGGAAAAACCCTATCAATGCCTGGAGTGTGGAAAGAACTTCATTGAAAGCGGACACCTACAATTGCATCAAAGGACTCACACTGGGGAGAAACCCTATAAATGCTTGGAGTGTGGACTGAGCTTCACTCAGAGTTCAAGTCTACATTCCCATGAACGAACTCACACTGGGGAAAAACCCTACAAATGCTTGGCGTGTGGACTGAGCTTCATTCAGAGTTCAAATCTACATTCACATCAAAGGACTCACACTGGTGAGAAACCATTTAATTGCTCGAAGTGTGGACAGAGCTTCACTCAGAATGGAAGTCTACGTGTGCATCAAAGGATTCACACTGGGGAGAAACCCTACAAATGCCTGGAGTGTGGACAGAGCTTCATTCGTAGTGCAGATCTGCGTTCGCATCAAAGGATTCACAATGGGGAGAAACCTTTTAAATGCTTGGAGTGTGGACACAGCTTCACTCAGAGTGGAAATCTACGTGTGCATCAAAGGATTCACTCTAGGGAGAAACCCAATAAATGCTTGGAGTGTGGACACAGTTTCACTAACAGTGGAGACTGTGCATGTGTCAACAAGAGTAAACATACCTAATTTATCTCCTAACTACAAGCGCTATTAAATCCTCCAAATGCCCATAAAGGGTCATAAATCTCTCCCTAACTGGGGTCCAGATCAAAAGAGAGGAGGCTGAGCAGTCATGTCTGAAGGTGACTGAAGCCATACATCTCAGAATACAAACAGAAGACCAGGTGATAGTAAGTATGGCTAATAGAAAGGGGAAGAGTGAGGAGGAAGAGGAGGAGGAAAAAAATGAACAAGATTGTATCCGCATTGGAATATCTTAAATTTATGGAGACAAAGACATCTAAAGAATTTATCAATACGGGTTAAAGAAAATTACTATAAGTTAATATGGAAATGGTACCTTACACTAGTAAGAATAGCAAATATAAATAAAAACTACTCAAAAACTTGCTGGAGAGGATGCCAAGAATCAGGAACATATATACATATGTGGTAGCTATGTAAATAATTTTGGGGGGAAAGTCTTTCGAGAAATAGAGGATATAATGAACATTAAAATAGAAAGAAGTCCTAGTATAGCTTTATGATCATTATATAATAATATACAATTGAAAAAAGAGGATAAAGATGTGATAACAAATTTATTAACAATAGCAAGACTGCTTATAGCAAGGAATTGGAGAAGAGAAATAAATATACAACTAGAGGAGTGGTACAAAGAAGTATGGAAATTGGCAATAAATGATAAGCTGACATGTATATTAAAAGTTCAAAGAGGTATATGGAAACAAAATGATTTTGATGAAATATGGAGAAAATTTATTCAAAAAGTATTTTAAAAGAAAGAAGGAAAGTTACCACCACAAGAAGAAGTGAAATTTTGGACAGATGATATGTAAAGCTGTGGCTTGGGAGAGGGAGGGGAGCACGGTGGTGAGAGATAGAAAATATGTATAAGCAGAAAAATAACAGTAGATGCCAAAAGTTAAAGTATGATAGATTGTATTGGATAATATGAATCTGCTGTAAAATAAACAATGTATACTCTGGCCCGGCCTAGTTTTATCTTGTTTGATGTACTGTTTATTGCCTGTGGTTTCGTTGTTTTAATATTGCTTTAATTGTTTTAATTTGCTTTAAGTGTATTGTTATGTTGTGTATTGAGGCCTTGGCCTTTGTAAGCCGCATCGAGTCCTTTGGGAGATGCTAGCGGGGTACAAATAAAGTTTAATTAATAATATAACAAATGTATTGAACTATGATAAAATAAAAAATATTTTAAAAAAGGAACATGTTAAATTAACCACAGATAGTAAGTATGGCTGATAGAAAGGGGAAGAGTGAGGAGGAGGAAAATATTGAACAAGATTATAACCGCATTGGAATATCTTAAACAGAGGCGGCCCTAGGTAATTTTCAACGGTAAGCAAACAGTATTTTGGTGTCCGTCCCCCCAACCAATCACTGATATATATTTTCTGTTCGTCATGAAAGTTCTGTGTGCTATATTTGGTACAATTCCATCATTGGTGGAGTTCAGAGTGCTCATTGATTTTAGGTGAACTATACATCCCAGTAACTACAACTCGCATATGTCAAGGTCTATTTTCCCCAAAGAGCGCCTCAAGAACGCCCCTGGAAAAAAATAAACTATACTGTGAATGCTTACTTTGCGTAACGGGTTGAGCTGCCCCTGATCTTAAATTAAGCATGGAGAGTTTAAGACAGGGAAAAAGCAGAGAAGAGAACAAACTACACAAATTAATAATCATCTCGGGCGAATAGTAACTAAGGTAGAAGAATGCCAAGAAAATTTCAAAGAGACAGAAGCTGAGATGAGAAGATAAAAAGATGAATTGATGGCTTTGAAAAATGTAAATCGAAATCTCCTTCAAAAAGTTGCTGACCTTGAAGACTGCTCATGAAGAACCAGAAAAGACCAAGGACAAGCCAGCTGGACAAAAGGCACCAAAAGATCTGGAAGCTGAAGAGAGAGGCGAGCTGACAGAGACAGGCTTACCTCAGAAATTATTTGCTATGGGAAATCCAAAGGACATGGAAGAAAAAAAAATCTTAAGGAACTTGAAGGACATGGATTTTGATTTGGAAAAAATTAAAAATACTGAGAAGCAATTATGAGATCTTAAAAGACAGAAAATAAGAGAGGGGAATAGAAGAATTGAAACAAAATCCAGGATAGAGACATAAGAATGAAAATCAGAAAATAATGGAAATGAAGGATATGGATAAATTGACATTCTTACTGAAAACAATAAAAAATTGAAAGGGTGGACGGTTTTGGAAGCCTACCTTAACAAGAATGGTAACTAAGAAGATTAACAATAAAGACTGAGGGATAAATTTACACTTGTACCTTTTTCCTTGGATATATAATGTGATGAAATGTTTCCTCTTTTTCTTTTTTGAGGGTAGAAGGAGGAAGAACGAAAGTCAATAATTTTCTTTTGTAAAATATTTTTTTCCATTTTAAATAATTTTCTTTTTGTATTGTCGAAGGCTTTCATGGCCGGAATCAGTCAGTTCTTGTGGGTTTTTTCGGGCTATATGGGCATGTTCTAGAGGCATTTCTCCTGACATTTCGCCTGCATCTATGGCAGGCATCCTCAGAGGTGAGGTCTGCTGGAGCTGGGAAAAAAGGGGTTTATATATCTGTGGAATGACCAGGGTGAGACAAAGGACTCTTGTCTGCTGGAGCTAGGTGTGAATGTTTCAACTGACCACCTTGATTAGCATACAATGGGCTGACTGTGCCTGGAGCAAACTCTTCTTGAAAGGTGATTAGATGTCCCTGCCTGTTTTCTCCCTGCTGTTTTGCTGTTGCAATTTTAGAATTTTTTAATACTGGTAGCCAGATTTTGTTCATTTTCATGGTTTCTTCCTTTCTGTTGAAATTGTCCACATGTTTGTGGATTTCAATGGCTTCTCTGTGTAGTCTGACATGGTGGTTGTTGGAGTGGTCCAGCATTTTTGTGTTCTCAAATAAAATGCTGTGTCCAGGTTGGTTCATCAGGTGCTCTGCTATGGCTGACTTCTCTGGTTGAATTAGTCTGCAGTGCCTTTCATGTTCCTGGATTCTTGTCTGGGCAATGCTGCGTTTGGTGGTCCCTATGTAGACTTGTCCACAGCTGCATGGTATACGGTAGACTCCTGCAGAGGTGAGAGGATCCCTCTTGTCCTTTGCTGAACGTAGCATTTGTTGGATTTTCTTGGTGGGTTTGTAGATTGTTTGTATGTTGTGTTTCCTCATCAGCTTCCCTATGCGGTTAGTGGTTCCCTTGATGTATGGCAGGAACACTTTTCCTCTGGGTGGATCTTCATCTTGACTCTCGTGGCTTGTTCTTGGTCTTGCAGCTCTTCTGATGTCTGAGGTGGAGTATCCATTGGCCTGGAGAGCCCAGTTGAGGTGGTTCAGTTCATCTTGGAGGAGGTGGGGTTCGCAGATTCTTTTTGCACGGTCTGCCAAGGCTTTAATGGTGCTTCTTTTTTGACTTGGGTGATGGTTGGAGTTTTTATGTAGATATTATTACGCAGCTATTTTCAGTGGGACAATGAATTCTACGAACAGAAAGATGGAGTAGCTATGGGGAGCCCTCTCAGCCCTGTCATAGCTAACTTCTACATGGAACAATTTGAAAAACAAGCTCTTGAAACAGCAGCCAAAAGGCCCACTATATGGTTCAGATCTGTGGATGACACTTTCACCATTTGGAGCCATGGAGAAGAAGAACTCAACAGGTTCCTGGACCATCTTAACAGCATCCACCGAAACATCCAGTTCACCATGGAAAAAGAAAATGAAGGAAGACTGCTTTTTCTAGATGTCCTAGCCATCCGTAAACCAGATCAACAATTGGGTCACACCGTCTACAGGAAACCCACACACACAGATAGATATCTACATAAAAACTCCAACCATCACCCAAGTCAAAAAAGAAGCACCATTAAAGCCTTGGCAGACCGTGCAAAAAGAATCTGCGAACCCCACCTCCTCCAAGATGAACTGAACCACCTCAACTGGGCTCTCCAGGCCAATGGAGACTCCACCTCGGACATCAGAAGAGCTGCAAGACCAAGAACAAGCCACGAGAGTCAAGATGAAGATCCACCCAGAGGAAAAGTGTTCCTGCCATACATCAAGGGAACCACTGACCGCATAGGGAAGCTGATGAGGAAACACAACATACAAACAATCTACAAACCCACCAAGAAAATCCAGCAAATGCTACGTTCAGCAAAGGACAAGAGGGATCCTCTCACCTCTGCAGGAGTCTACCGTATACCATGCAGCTGTGGACAAGTCTACACAGGGACCACCAAACGCAGCATTGCCCAGACACGAATCAAGGAACATGAAAGGCACTGCAGACTACTTCAACCAGAGAAGTCAGCCATAGCAGAGCACCTGATGAACCAACCTGGACACAGCATATTATTTGAGAACACAAAATGCTGGACCACTCTCACAACCACCATGTCAGGTTACACAGAGAAGCCATTGAAATCCACAAACATGTGGACAATTTCAACAGAAAGGAAGAAACCATGAAAATGAACAAAATCTGGCTACCAATATTAAAAAATTCTAAAATTGCAACAGCAAAAACAGCAGAGAGAAAAACAGGCAGGGACATCTAATCACCCTCAAGAAGAGTTTGCCCCAGGCACAGTCAGCCCATTGTATGCTAATCAAGGTGGGCAGTTGAAAGATCCACACCTAGCCCAACTTACAAAAGCCCTTTGTCTCACCCTGGTCATTCCACAGATATATAAACCCCTTTTTCCCAGCTCCCGCAGACCTCACCTCTGAGGATGCCTGCCATAGATGCAGGCGAAATGTCAGGAGAAATGCCTCTAGAACATGGCCATAGAGCCCGAAAAAAACCCACAAGAACTGAATTTTCTTTTTCTTCTCTTTTTTGAGTTAGTTAAAAACCATTGTTTTTAGTTATATAATTTACATGTATGCTGTTATATTGTATCCTATGTTTATTTCTGTTTTAAACTAATAAAAACTATTGGAAAAAAGACAAAATAAGAGGAGAATAGAAGACTTGAAACAAGATCCAGTACAGCCTAAAAACTGTGGAATAATGAAATTTGGACAAATGGGGTTAAATGGGTGAAAGAAGTTGCAAGAGGGGAGAGCGGGGGAAGAGCAGCGCAGTCCCCAAGGGAGAGTCTTCTGGCCCTCGGCCGAATGTCCTGTCGCTAGCCGTGTCTTGATAGAGACCTAGCTGTTTGAGCAGTTCAATGCCTCCTCCCAAAGTTTTAACTGCATGTTTTTCCCCGTCCTTATAAAATAATATTGTGGCAGGGAAACTCCACATAAATCTAATTCCAGCCTTTTTAAGACATCTAGTTAGCGGTCGTAAAGCCTCTCGGTCTTTCCTCGCTTCTTTTGCCAAGTCTGGGTAGATAAATATTTTGTAATCCTTATAATGTAAGTCCCAAATAGTCCTTCACTTTTTAAAGACAAAATCTTTTGTCTTCTCCCCGCCAAAAGCGACGATAACATCCCGAGGGGATAAAACCTGAGAGTTCTTGGAAGGGGGGGGGGGGAATCTATGAGCTCTCTCGATACCATTATCGGTAAGACTTTTGCCGTAATTAGCACACACTTCTACCAAAAACTGGCTTAAGTCCTTGATACGTTCCGACACCTCCTGAAGATGAAAAATATTTCTCTGAAGATGGTTCTCAGAATCAATAAATCTAGATCTCAAAGTCAATGTCTCTTTTTCTAACTGTTCGGTGCTTCATTATTATTTATTATTTACAGTATTTATATTCCGCCCTTCTTCTCACCCCGCAGGGGACTCAGGGCGGATTACAGTGTACACATATATGGCAAACATTCAATGCCAATTTTTGACATACAAACATATACAAACATGTTGTTGTTCATTCGTTCAGTCGTCTCCGACTCTTCGTGACCTCATGGACCAGCCCACGCCAGAGCTCCCTGTCGGCCGTTACCATCCCCAGCTCCCTCAAGGTCAGTCCAGTCACCTCAAGGATGCCATCCA